CGCTCAGCAATGTAAAAGAACGTGAAATTATAACAAATGTCTTGTCTCAGGGGACCAAAAAAAAAAAAACACACACACACACACAAAAACAAAGAATTCGGGTGAGAGAAGATGAGAGTATGAATTCCTAAATTGGCAGTTTAATGTGGTAAGTTAAATTTACTATCTCAAAGAAAAAAAGCTTTTCTTATTTGGGGGAAAAGGATGGAATCTTGGATGAGGGCTTTCTAACTTAACAGACTGTATGAAAGCTAATGCCTTTAGTTATATGTGAGATTAGGTCTAAACAATTTCATAACATTATGAATGACGCTGGTGAATTAAGAGTAATCACAGCAAGAACAATAAACAGAGATGGTTTTCTGAAGGGCAAATAAAATTATTTAGGAAAAGACTTTTGATGACCTATATGCTAATAAAGTTAACTGAAAGGTACTTCCTAAGGGACTATATGGTTGAATAGTCTCATTCCATTTTTGAAAGACCAGTGCAAATGGTAAGCTGACATGAGTAACTCTTTTTAATGCAAGTTCCTGAATTATTACTCAGATTAGTGCCCATTAATGTACATTTTAATACATAATAGTGATACCCCATAACAATAATTCTGAACCATCAAGAAGAGGACAAATTTTGCTCAGCATTTAAGAAGTCAGCCAAGTACATGGATATTTTAGAAATACAGCATAGCAAAAGTATCAAAGTAGAAGATCTGGCACGTAAGTCTTTACCTCCAGCTATCTGACTACCATTCCAAAAAGATTAACTTTTTACAGGTTCTACAGTGAAAATGTTCCAATTTAATTCTAAGAGGGTCTTTGCTCCTGGGGAAAGTGATATTAGGAAGAGCCACAGACACAGTGCTAAGGAATGGAAGGTAAAAACGTGGTAGAAGAATTTTATCTCCCTGACAAAGACAAGTTTTTTCTTCAGCTCAGTTATTCCTTGTGGTCATCAGGACATAAATGCTTTTGGGGTTGGGTAGGGGAATATATTCCTTTGAAAGGCTATCTTGTTAAATTTGAAATTAATGTCATACATTTGTTAAGTCTTTTAATTACCACTTGTTTATTAAAAAGAACTTCCTAAAGGAAAAAAAAAAAAAAGTTCCCACAGGACGGTCTTTAGCGCTGCACTACATGGCTTATGGGGACCGTGAAAGCTGAGGGTCTGTTCATTTTGTGGTGGGTCACTTCACTGACTAATCACAAACATCTTTTTTGTTCTAATGATATTTCCACTGATTTTCTTAGATTTCCCAGAGAGATCATTATATCAGCAAGTAATAATAATTCTTCTTTCTTCTTTCCAATATTTTATTTCTCCACTTCCTCCAATTGGATAATAATCATTTCTTGTAATACGTATACCTGTATTAAATACCACTTAAAACCCGATATAAAATCATAACACTAAACTTTAAACACTTCAAGACTACTGGAAGATGGCAGGATTAAAAATAAGGCTTAGACATTGTTTTTATAATATTCAGCATGTAAGGGTAGAAGTTGCTGGAATAATTAAGTTGCATAACTTCCAAATTCTGTTTTTGTGCCTATAATGACCTGTTGCTTTTATTATTTTTAAAATTTAGTCCAAGATATTTTAATGCTAAGAAAAGAGTTGATTTTGCTTATCTTCGTGTCCTTATTCAAATGAGGGCACTTAATAAACATTTGTTGGTGTTAATGTTGCAGAAGGTTGGGGGAATGGATGGAGATAACCAGAGTGAGAACTCACAGTTCCTACTCCTGGGGATGTCAGAGAGTCCTGAGCAGCAGCAGATCCTGTTTTGGATGTTCCTGTCCATGTACCTGGTCACGGTGGTGGGAAATGTGCTCATCATCCTGGCCATCAGCTCTGATTCCCGCCTGCACACCCCCATGTACTTCTTCCTGGCCAGCCTCTCCTTCACTGACCTCTTCTTTGTCACCAACACAATCCCCAAGATGCTGGTGAACCTCCAGTCCCAGAACAAAGCCATCTCCTATGCAGGGTGTCTGACACAGCTCTACTTCCTGGTCTCCTTGGTGACCCTGGACAACCTCATCCTGGCCGTGATGGCATATGACCGCTATGTGGCCATCTGCCACCCCCTCCACTACACCACAGCCATGAGTCCTGGACTCTGTGTCTTGCTCCTCTGCTTGTGTTGGGGGCTGTCTGTTCTCTATGGCCTCCTCCTCACCCTCCTCCTGACCAGGGTGACCTTCTGTGGGTCCCGAAAGATCCACTACCTCTTCTGTGAGATGTACGTCCTGCTGCGGCTGGCATGTTCCAACATCCACGTCAACCACACAGTATTGGTTGCCACGGGCTGCTTCATCTTCCTCACCCCCTTAGGGTTCACAACCACATCCTATGTACGTATTGTCAGAACCATCCTTCAGATACCCTCAGCCTCTAAGAAATACAAAACCTTCTCTACCTGTGCCTCACATTTGGG